AAATAAAAAATTAAATATAAAATATGAAATAAAAAATTATTGCGTCTAATTACTTTTCTTTATTAAGCATTAAAATAATAAGCGTGCTATACAAGTAATGCGGAGTTTAATTTTATGATCTACTACAATTCACACCTTAAGCTAATTTCATTTCATTTAATTGCGTTACATACTAATTCATCGTTTCATTCTTCAATTTTGTGGGAATTGCTGGCAAAATTAAATTATTCATATTTCGCTCCCCATTCCCTGGCGGAATTTAGAAATTTCGCAGAATTGATTACAAGCCAGACGCTTGGCGAATTGCAAAAGTTTACATACGAGTCAGAGAGTTGAAGTACGAGTATGGTAGATAATTTGAAAGTTGACGCACGCTAATGATAAGGATAAAATATTGACAGGCAACAGCTGTCGGTAAGCGGTAAGCGGAAGGAAGTGAAATTCGGTCGCTTTTGCTGGCGCCACACAGAATGCTGCTGCCAGCAGACACATTGGCGCTATTTATGGCAAATTAAGCCAATTGAGTTGAGAGAGATTACGCTGGGCGTTTGTAGACCACGCCAGCTTCGACAATTTGAGATCTTTGTGTAGGTAGGAATTTCATTGGCTGCTCTCAGCCGAGGCTGAGCTCGGCTCAGCTCAAGTATTTTTTCCATTTTTTTTCTTCTTCTTTTTCGTCTCGTGTTGTCGCTGTTGTTGTGTGCGAATTGGGTAGAGAAATGCCCGGGGGGCTATAGAATTTACACAATGCCATCAAAGGCACAAGGTGTTTATGGGGCTGGTGTACCATTTGCATGTTTCTACAAATTGTGGGCGTCTCGCCAAGTTCCCTGCGCGATAAATTGTTGGCACGATGTGCTTCATTAAACTGGCACAACAAATGCCAAATTGATACAAATCGAATGAGGATAGTACAAACGTAGAATTCACTGAGGAAATAAATGAAATATGAGCACTAATAAATCGTTGATATCATTTCAATTGCAGACTTGCCAAGCGAACTTCTCTGTCAGCAATAAAAGGCAACAACGACAAATGACAGTTACAATCAGCATGTCCTGCGCAGCGAGCGCCCCTTACTCTGTGTATGCCATAGGGCAACGAGTCATCGGTGAATGGCAGGCCAATAATTGCATTGCATCCAAGGACTAAGCTCGGCCCCAACACCAGCCAGGCGACAGCCACAATAACGACTTGCCCCACACCATGACACTCATACGCAGGCTAACGGCGACGGCTTCGACGGCGGCAAGGACGCTGCTCGAGGATGCGGGCGCAGGGACGAAGTCACAGCCCGTTTACATGCCGCTGCTCCTGGAGGCAACGGCCACGCTGCCCTCAGCAGCGAGATCAACCTCGGCGGCTGCGGCAGCGGCAGCAGCGGCGGCTGCTGCTGCGGCTTCCCATGCGAGTTATTTGAATTTCGTTGCCGATGGACTCATCGATGTGGACGATGTGGACGGCAACGGTGGCAGCAGCTCAGTTTCCCTGGAAAATATTGCCGGCGGCCAGGCGCCGGACAATGGCAGCTCGGCCGCGACTGCCGCCGAAACGGGCAGCGCGCACCTGACATTCGTCATCGTCAAGTGTTTCATTATTGGTTTCATCATACTGGCCGCCATACTAGGCAACATGCTGGTGATTGTCTCCGTCATGCGGCACAGGAAACTGCGGTGAGTTGTAATCACATAGCCATAGCCAGGTGTTCACAATCACAATCACAAGTCTGATAGCTGTACTCAAAGTTCTCTATACTGCGAGTAGGTGGTTGCCTACTTTATGTAGGAGTAATTCCTTGAAGAACTTAAAATTATGGAATTGAAGGCCAAAGTTGCGAGATGTGGGCGAGAAATGGCAATCCTCAAAATATTGGATTTGCCTGACTTATTGGGATTGACTTGAACCCCTTCAACCGAACTGTTGCTCAGAAATTCTGAGTCAGAATATTATATTTAGTTTTCTTTCAATCTTACAGGCGAACACACACACAAGCATTAATACATGCACACACACACACCCACATATGCAAAGCCCGCAGTCTTATAGGTAATGAATATTTAAGTGATTTCAGTGTCCCTTGCCCGATCTTCATGAAATATTCCGAAATCAGTCGAATGACAAAAGGTATAGTTTTGTTCGAAAATCTTCAGTCAATGTTATAAAAAAAGAAAAGAAAATATCTATCTATTGTATATCTGTCTATACATATGTATCTATCTCTATACATTTTAATCTCTGCTGTCTTTTCGTTATTCCTGTTGTAACATTGTTAAATGCACACGCTATTATTATTGAAAAAATTTGCGGGTTATACAATGTACCTATTCAAATTATCTTTAAGTTGTTTTTCGTCTTATAATTAATAATAATACTTAACATAATAATTGAGGTAATTTCGATTTCATGTCTGATTAAGCACAATTGACTATATCTAACAAATAAATGGAACTATATTATCAATCTATGGATAATATTACTTCCTTAGCCTCTGCACACTGTTAATAGACTCATGGCTTGGTCGACTGTGCTGTTGTCCAGCCTGGCAACTATAATATATTCTATAATGCTCAGCTTCCTCTGTGAAGAGTGAATCGAGGTAGCACAATAGCAGCAACAATACAATCCATTCTCGAGCGTGTTTTATTCATTTCCTTTTTCAATGGTTCGACTAGCTCGAGGCGCGCTTTTCAATACTCGTTTGCTTCAATCGAACAGGGTATATTCGTTTAGTTGTTTGCTCGCTTTTACGTCTGCTCAGGCTGGGCTAGAAAGTCTATATATATGAAATAATATATATATATGAAAATAGTATAAGTTCTGTTCACTTTTATAGCTGCAATAAATTCGAACGAGTATGGCGGCGTCAATGGCACCCGTTAGTAACGTGCTTCCACGTTTATCATTGAATTGTTGGCCACAAAGCGCCATTGTCATCATTGTCAGCGCGCGTATCAAGGACATGGCCAGGAATTTGTGTCTATGTTGCCTTTTTCGCACAGCCTTTGACCGCCGTCAGGGCGTTAATCCTGTGCGCCTTAGCGTCCATTAGTTTGCCATCATTTATCATATTTGGGCGGTTGCGTTGCGTTGCGTGTCAAGAAATTTGTCAACTTTTCTGCTATGGCTCGCACCCATTACCATTCCCATGCCATTCCCATTGCCCTTACCCATATGCTGGCTGACTGGGCTGGTGTCTGCTTTATAACTGAACCGCCCACCCGTTGGCATACTTCTGTGCGGCACTGTCAAATGTCGAAAACGTGCGTAATTACATCGAATATGTTAATAAGATGAACGCATTTAAATATTGTGGCCTTCTTAAAAGGGCGCTCAGACAGACGTTGCCGGGTTTGGCATTTTATTTACGACGGTCCATATACATTTGGTTTTTTTTTTTTTTTTTTTTTTTTGGCAGCTCCAAAAAGCCCCAATAAATAAGAGGAGAGTGTAGACGACTAAGAGTTTCGCTAAATGCAGTAGACTTTACATAAGCAGCGTGTAAATAATTCTACAAAATTTAGTTATTGATTTTATTTATTATTTGAATAATTGTAGAAAATTTAAAATTTCATTCTACGTATAATATACGATAATATAAATTTAAATGTATATGTGTATTTCTAGTATGGAAAATAAGGAAAACTAAAAAATTATATTTACAAAATCGAAGTCGAAGAAAGTATCAATACTAATGTATAATAAATAAACAAATATTTAAATAATTATAAAATATTTTTAACACATAAACTACGCATCATACACTCACATCTCCTCATTTATTGAGATCAGGGTATTTTAACAACAATACTTACTCAACACTCTCTCATACAGTTGAAGATGTCACCCTGTGTGTGTGTGTATGTGTAAGTGTGTGAATGTGTGGGTTACGACAGTTCTTCATAATTTCGTACGTGTTTCAGGCGCAAATTCATATGCTGTATTTGGCTGGCATTTAAGCTACATAAAGCGCACACACACTCACAGTCACACTCACACCCGCATACCCACTGAACGGTCACGCTCACAACCACGCCCACACAAGAAGCCTTAGGGCGCTCAATGTCAAGGCATAAACCTTTTAAAGCAGCCCAGGAAAACGCTCACCTTGGCGACAGCCCAAGCAGACAGACAGAGAAACAGACAGAGAGASAGACAGCCACCTGACATTTAAGGGGCTCATTTAACTTTCGTAGCCTGCGAAGCTGCGTAAATGCTGTTGCCAGGCGAAATGCTGGTGTAGGAACTGAATGAAGGTAACGAAGCTCCCGAATGACTATTATTGCTAGCTGCATAAAAATTTGTATCTTCCCTGATGCTGTGCCTATGACCCATTTCAACTGTTTTGCGCCGCTGCGCAGTTTAAATCATTATGGCAAATTAGGCCTAATTATGCTTGACATGCATTCCTACTTTATCCTCTCGCCAGTGTAAATGTGTGAGTGTGTGCGTGTGTGTGTGAGCGTCTGTGCAAATCTCAGGTGTGTGTCCAACTCAAGGCTCGCATTAAGCAAATTTTCATGCGATAATTTGAGCCTCATTTAACTCAGCCCCCACCTGTGTCGGACTCCGCTCGTAGCTCAGCCTTTCCCAAATAGATGGACGATTGTGCGTGCGCGCCCGGCTGACTTAATATCCGGTCCACTAATTGAACCAACTTTCGCACAGCCCATTAAGGTGGAGCCAACTAAAAGTTCAGCTTGTCGAAATAAGTCCATATAAGTTATGTGCAGCGCCAAGATAGAACGCACCCCAATATATTCTAATTACCATCGTGGTCTGACTGCGCTACAGAATTTATGCCTAAATTCACTAATTATTATTAAATATATATGAAATACTTTATACTAATCAAGCAAAGCCTAATCCTTTGTCATTATTGTCTATAATCTTAGCAATTCATTATAAGAAAATTTCTATAAATAATTGTTTAGCAGCTTAAAACAAATTACTTTCACCATTCAATACAGTTTACTTTGTTGCAGTCTTGCCTCTGGTATGAAGCCATTCACAGTTCACAAATTATCAACAATAAACTCAATATGAAAGCAAAATATGAGCAGGCTCTAAGCTAGTTGACGTTGACAGTCATAACAAGTTTCCCCATCAATGTCTGTGTTTGGCTAATGGCCAATAACAGTGTGTACTTTGGCATTTTAAAGAGCCACGTTAAAGTGCTGAAGCTCTGAAGCTCTGACAAGCTCATAAATCTAATTAAACTTGTCATCTATCGGAATCGACATGGCTCCGTTTGCAACTCTTCTGGGCTGCCCTCGTCTCCTCTTGGGTTTTAATCGGATTTAAAGCGACGCCTCTCTTTGCTACTTATATTTTCAGTTCTGTTGTTGACGCTGATGTTTTGCCTTATGCCTGGCCTGGCACATTTCTGTGGTGGTTAAGGCTTGCCAACAACTGTCCGTTACTTGCCATGGCACTGCCCTCGTCCCGCACTCACCCTCCATGCACTCAGCCATCCCTGCCTTCCGAATTCTGGCATCACGGCTGCGGCTGGTTCCTGTGGGTTGTAATTAAGTTTGTGCCGGTTTGAACGTGAAGCTGGTTCATTGGCCTAGTGTAAATTGTGAGATATGAAAATGTAATTGCCTCTCGCTTCAAGTTCTGCCCATTAAAGCTGCAATGAGTTTTAGAGTTGCGCATACGCCATGTGTGCGTAATTGAGTTGAGCCTGGAGTCTGTGGGAAGAGTTTGTGGCATTCCGGCGCAAATAAAGCATATTATCAATTAATGCATTAAACTCCGACTGCACTCGCATGTTGCCTACATATGTGTGTGTGTGTGTATGTGCGAGCAGAAGTTTCTGCCTCATAGCCACACAGACGAGCTATTAAGCCGATAAGCTGTGCATGTGTATAATACTGACATAAATGTGCATTGCGCCAGGCTGATGATTTGCAAAAGTTTTCAACAATTTGTCAACATTTCCCGCTGGCATCCGCTGCTGAAGTTAGTCATGCTCGTCTCTCATTTACAGCATCATTACCAACTATTTTGTGGTTTCACTGGCGGTGGCCGACATGCTCGTTGCGCTTTGTGCAATGACTTTCAATGCTTCCGTCGAGATATCTGGCAGATGGATGTTCGGGTCGGTAATGTGCGATATCTGGAACAGTTTCGATGTCTACTTCTCCACCGCCAGCATCATGCATCTGTGCTGCATTTCGGTGGACAGGTGAGGCGGCAATTAGTTAAATATCATTTGGCAGACATTCGCCAAATTATTCTCATCTCATTTCAGGTACTATGCCATAGTCCAGCCACTGGACTATCCACTCATAATGACGCATCGTCGGGTCTTTATCATGCTCCTAATGGTCTGGCTATCACCGGCGCTGCTCTCGTTCCTACCCATCTGCTCGGGCTGGTACACCACGAACGAGAACTGGAAATATCTCAAGTCCAATCCCCATGTAAGCTGACAATATATTTTCTTAATTTTCAACTGCATCACAATTCAACATTTCAACAGTTTCTACTATCTATGTGTGCGTGTGGGCGTGTGTCTGCATGTGTGTGTGCGTGTTTGCCAGAGGCTGGCATGCCAGACATGCAGTTTGCTTGCCTCTACCACACATTGGCCACAAGGTGTGCCATAAATTCGTGCCAACAGCTGCAAGTGAAGCTGGCACATTGACTTTGGTTTAGATCCCAGACTAGAGCTGAGCACGTGCCCAAATCTCCTTAACACGAGACAACGCGCAGCAGCTTAATACTAAATAGTTAATCAGGTAGTTGGACATACATAGAGATATACACATATATACATACATATATTTTGAGTAATACCACAAGCTAAATATTGACATTTACATCACAACTTTATATAGACGGTGGCAAGATAGTGGAATTTATAATTGAAAATTATATGAATCCCCTGAAACATATGAATAGAATCTTCTCATGCTCTTGCAAGTTCATTTACCATTAACACTTCTTCTCCTTCCATCTGCATACTTATAAGAGTCCAACTTGCACTTTTGCCATATCGCATACTTCCATTACGTAAGTCTATAATTTATACTTTTTTATCTCCGCTTCATCCCAGCCATCCTCTCAACGCATGCCAATTAATTCACTCTCATACTCTTTTCTAGTGTTTTTCTATTCATCTCTTGCACAATTCTTTTAATATTTTTCTCCGTCATTGTTTTTAAGCTCTCTTCTGAATGAAACCCTTAATAATAAATGTATGTTTAGTAAAAAAAAATGACTTGGCATCTGTTGAGTTAACAGGAATATTTCAGAATTTATTCTATCACAAGAAAACGACTTAATCCATTAGTATATTCATTTATTCCATTTAGATCCTATCGATGAATTCGCAGAAAGTGAGAGCAAAAGACAATGTATATGTATAATCAATCTAGGTAGCTTTTAGATCTTTCGACTCAAGTGCATTTGCACCAATCAAACGATTGTTAGTTTCTCCTTTCTAGCACTAAATCTCTTAAAATGCGAATCTCTTGAGTCAATTTCTTGCAATGCTAGACGCAGCATTGGCTGTTGAGCTCCCCAGTCGCAGTAGTAGATATATGAGAGTATAGCATATTTATGATTTATTTTATTTATTTATTACACTTAATTTTAAATTAAAAGTAAGTTAAGATAAAAGACTCACAGTAGCTAGTAGCTCCAGTAGGGGCCTTCCTTCGCCAATACGGCGTATGTTATTACAATACAAAATGGAATATAGCCCCACGTAGGAGTAATCAAGGGTCTCATGAAAGTGCTCTAGCAATCTCGTAGCAATGTTCAAAACTTGTGAATCCAATTCAACTATAATCTTACCATATTCTTTTACCACTTTATCAATGACAGTTCAGGAATTCAGCTACTATTTTAGCATATCTATTTCATTTGAAAGCACTTCTAATCCTTGTCTGCCAGAGTATTTAGTTATAAATGAGCTGAACCTGGACCTGGTTCAGTCGAGCGTAACTCTATTTGCCTCACAAATGTTTCACATTCAACTCAAATAACATTTACACGCCAGACACGGCACGACACGGCGTCCAGCTCTGTTAGCTTAGACTAGGAGACTAGGAGTCGCTGCAAGGAAAATTGATTTATGGGGGGTGGGGGGCAAAGGCATCTGTGGTGTTTTTACGCCTTTTTAGGTGCTCAGTTGGCATATTTATTACCGGGTCTGCTTTATTGGCCATTTTGCGACATGAGCACGTCCTGGACCAGCTAACATATTTGTTAAGTTTTCAAGCAGCGCCATGAACGTGAAATGAACGTGGCTCAATACCTGGCGCTGCTCCTGCTGCCCCTTCTGCTGCTGCTGCTGCTGCAGCGGCGTCTGCCTAACAACTGTTGCCAGCTGCTGATGTTGTTGCTGTGCGTTGTTATTGCGCAATACAAATGCTAATGTATAAATAAATGTAATTATATTTGCGTTTGCGGTGCCTGGTCCTGCTGTCTTGGGCTTGTGCTTGAGCTTGGGTATGAGCCAGTGCCAATGCCAGTGCCAGCGCCTTTCCTCTGCCTTGCCTCTGCCTTTCCTTCTGTCACTGCCTCTGCCTCTGCCTCTGCCTCTGCCAGGGATTGTGCCGCCTGTGCATAATTTTCGACTTCACACAAAGCGTCGACTCATTGAAAGCCCTTTGCATACATTAGGCATTCAAGTTGAGCTTTAATTAGTTTAACTTAATGTGGTTGTCATTGTGCTTGTTGATGTTGCTGTTGTTGTGGGTGGTTGTTGTTGCTGATTTTGTTGTTGTTGTTGTTTTTCATAACTGACGGCGACAGCACCGCGTCAACTCTCACATAAATCTGATTAGATGGCCTTGAGACAACGTTAAGTGCCTGGGGGCGTGGCAGCCTGTCATATCATAGCTTTAATGCATGCCATAATTGCTTCGCTTTTTATTGCTCTCGCTTCAGTACAATAATCGTATTACGCATACGCAACGTTGCCACAAATTTTACCATTGTCTGTGCCATTCCAGTTGCACTCGCAGTTGCAGTTGCATTTACAGTTAATTGACTGCACTTTGCATATTATCACATATCACATACATTCTAGTGCTTATGGCTGACGGCTGCTGGCTGTTGGCAGCCCCATCAATTTGCCGCCGTTGTTTTATTTTATGAGCTTAACCATGTATTTAATGTGATTTATTTGATGAAATTACACCGTTTGAATTTCAATTGCCGCACTCAATAACAATGGGCGTACCGTAATCTAATTGAATTGCAGATATGTGAGTTCAAAGTGAACAAGGCCTACGCCATTGTGAGCTCGTCGATGAGCTTTTGGATACCGGGAATCGTCATGCTGTCCATGTACTATCGCATTTACCAGGAGGCCGACCGGCAGGAGCGTCTGGTGTACAGGTAAACCAATTAATTTGTTTGCCGCAATTCACGCTAATTACATGCTCCACGCAGATCCAAAGTAGCCGCCCTGCTGCTGGAGAAGCACCTGCAGATTAGCCAAATACCCAAGCCGCGGCCCAGCATACAGGTGGAGCAGTCAACCATAACGACAATGAGACGCGAGCGGAAGGCAGCCCGCACACTGGGCATCATAATGAGCGCCTTTCTGCTCTGCTGGCTGCCCTTCTTCTTATGGTGCGTACCGGATGTCAGCAGCTTGCGAAGATTTCCCAAATACAAATACATACATATATACATAAAGAAACAAGCAATTTAAATATCGAGCCTCATGCGAAGTCCTCTACAGCTCTTTCTAATCAGCAATTACACCTGCAACTCACATTTTTAATTTATGTGCTCATTGCCTCAGGTTATGCGACTCTAAAACTGTGTTGCTTTTTCTGTTTCGCCTAAACTTATGCAACGTTTTTTTTTCTCGCTTTCTTCTTAGCCAAGTCAAGAAAAGTAGCAAAGCAAAAGTTGCCAAGAAAAGTTGCTCGGTTCGGCTTTATGAGTTCGCAATTATAAGCTAACTGGCCATTGGCAGGGCAAGGTTACTTAATAACTTGAAAGATAAAAGAAAGGAACTAAGAATACACTATGCATATTAAAGGCCCTCTGAGTGTCTTTCTGTGTAAGTGGAAAGCCGTTGTTTGATCCGGGCTGCTGCCTCTGCGAACAGAATATAAATTATTTCTGTTTAATATAGAATAATACAGTATGAAATAATAACTTTCACGAATAATTATATAAATAATAATTATATTGAAAGTCGCTGCAGATGGCAACGAAATTTTACTAGGAATTCGTCTAATAGATGTGCTATCAAAGGTCAAAGGGCACATATTGCTGCCGTTTTAATTTACGTCTGCCAAGTTTTCTTTTTATATAAACTTTTACTTTCCAACTTTATTATTTTGTTTCTCGAAACTTATTTTGCTTTAAGGGCAGTGAGCGGAAAGTCTTAAATTTTCTTATTAGATTTATAATTATATCTACAATATATTTATTCCCCTTTCAGGTACATCACATTCACTCTCTGCGACAGCTGCAAAACACCGCGAATCGTGGTCGGCATATTGTTCTGGATTGGCTATTTCAACTCGGCGCTGAATCCAATAATTTATGCATATTTCAATCGCGATTTCAGGGCCGCTTTCAAAAAGACGCTCAAGGTAAGCTCACTGGGGTGGGGGCAATTGGTCCTATTTATATATTGATTGGTCGGGAGCTCTGTGTTAGTTGGCCATAGTCAAGTAAGACCTCTTATCAATACATATTGCTTTTAAATCAACCTTCGAACGAAATACCCAAATGCCGCTCGCCGTTCGTCTTTCGCCCCTCGCCCAAACTTAGTGAAAATCAGCTACGGCAGCAATGGGAAGCACAAGTGCAACGGCAGCAGCAACAGCAACAACAATAAACACAGCTGCAACTGCAACTGCAACTATACAGCGCCAGCATTCAGAGAGACTTAAGCCAGACTGCGCATACTTTGGTAGCTATATGAGTTTACTTTGAGCTGCATTGGCAACTAGTGCCACTTAGCTGTAGCTTGAGCAACTAAAACTAATACGTAGCATACATATTAGCTGACTGAGTCGACAGCCAACTTTAAACTGTCAACTGCAACTGCAACTGCAATTGCAACAGCTATTGCTTGTCATGTCCTTGCCACATTTTTTCATTGCTGCGAAATTAGATAATGCCTGATGAAGATTTCTATGCACGACCTGCTTGCCTGAGCTATCTATGTATGCCCCTCTGCTCTCTCAACTGTCTTCTATCTCTCTTAAAGCAATTCCATATATATATATACATATATCTCTATCAGTTTCTCGGACGTATCTAATGTACATACTTACATATAATGTAAATTGGTTTTCTATCTCTCTATCTTTAATCTCATCTATTCATCTTTTCCATGCACAGCTGGCTTTTGCCCTTCTAAAACGTTGCCTAACGCTCAACAAATGCTAAGAATGCCAAAATAAAAAATAAAATATTAAAACAAAAACATGCAAACAAAAATGTAATATTCAAATTGAAAAGCTTTTGGCTGATATAAGTATATCATACATAATATGTACATATCCAAATGTGAGTGTGTATGTATCATACTCTTTCACACACACACACACATTGCCCACACAGAGCACCTGTTACGAAACGGTCGCCACACAAACAACAACAAACACTTACGAATGCGCATATTTTGATGCTCCGAGTTTGTTTTGGGTAAAATGTGGGCTTTGTTTCATTCCCTTTTTTTCTGTATTTCACAGACTACTCTTTAACATCGCACACACTCGCACTCACATCCACACGGGGAGTCCTACTTGTTAAATGAATGCGCCATTTTATTTTGTATTTCACTTGGAATTTTCCCTTTTTTTTTATTTTCGTATTTTTGCATTTTTTTATTTTTTGTCGTTTGTTTTCCGCAAATAAACTTGCCAAAGACATGTGCCCAGCCGACCACAGCCACAACAGAACACGCCCCACACAGCCTCAGCCCCCAACCTCCAAGTATGTGCAACTTTGTCTCTCTGTCTATCTATTTATCTCGCTCGCTGTGTCTGTCCCCGACGTCGTTTAAATACTGCCTAACCTTTGACTACGTAGCTAGCATTCTCTCTACGCCTATTTACACTCATTTGGCTCTTGTTTATATATGTGCCCGTTGTCTTTTTCTGTTTTTCTATTTTTTCTCCTGCAGAGCTGTTGCCCCAATGCGCTCATCAATTGTCGCACCAGTTTCCGGGCAGCTGGAGGCGGCCACGGTATAGGCGGCGGCCAGAGGAGAGCCAATGGTGCCCGGAACGGATCCGCTGAGCTGCCCAACTGTATGAACTCGACGGCCTCGTCGGAGATACAGATGAACGTGATGCGTGCTCGACAGTATGCGGCTGGCACGCCCACAACGACCGGCGGGGATCCGCTGCAGCTGCATCCGCTCTACACTAATTAAAGCATTTGAGCCCTATTCGCTCTATCAGCTCTTCTTCAGCTAAGTGTGTGCGTGTGCAGATGCTCAACCCAATCCATGCCTAAAGGCAAATAGGTATTCCGTATATGTTTTACTAATCTATGCCCGAAAACTATGACCACGCTAAGCTACAGTAAAAATGGGTTCGAAACGAACACGACAATCCCACAGTAAAAATTGAGCCTTCAAAAGAAAACAAAACAAAACAAAACAAAAGAAAAATTAATGTGCAAATATATAT